GAGTTTAGTGAATGCATTCTTCCAGCCAGTAAGGTTACCACTCTAAGACGTTGTGTTATTTACACTGAATGGAGAGCTGACCGGGGAGATCAGAATGCTACACACTGTGCTTATATCTCTCTTCCAACCTCACTGCCATCATGTCATGCAAGGAATGTGTGTATTGATTGCAAGCCCCCATGGTAAGGACGCCCTGAGTGATATCAGACCCTCACAGGCAAATGATGGCATGGGGGGCTCTCTGTGACGCCATGGTCATGGGGGGGTAGAGGGTTATTGGAGAAAATCATCAAATTCTCATTGGAGCAGCAGATGGTGCTTGTCAGTTATTGGCACAGAATTATAAAAATGTGTCTGAATCACTAGATAAGGATTAGAAATTCACATATTTCAACTAGTAACTGTGTTTACATTACTGGTAAAACTCACTAAATAAATACATATAAACATACGTATTTTATACATGCGACCACAACATTACCAAATAGAAACACACATGAAATGAGCATAGATACACACAACGCACGTAGAGACACAGACACACATAATGTAATATACATAAACAGACATTCACACTCACAACATAATATACAAAAACAGATACACAACATGATGTACATAAACAGACACTCACATAACACAGTGCATACATAGACGCACATAGATACACACATAACACAGTGCACACAGACACACACACGCATAACATAATGCATGTTAACATTCACAGTGAAAGTCCACAAGCTAACACAGAATACATACAATCTGCACACCTGTGTGAACATACGGTATATGTGAGCGTACGCACTCTGCAGATCGGAATTCACTTTGTTTGATAAAATACCTTCCTGCATGTTATGTCATGGAAAATCTATGTAAATATCCCAGGCCATAACACAACGTCATTTTACTGATCCCACCGGCTCTAAACTCATTAAATGCAGAGACACAAATTAAATGGAAGAAAGACAAATGATTTATTTCCCAAGTAACAAACTAATTACATGATGTCAATACATCGCCGTTTATTGCGTTATTTGCTGCGTGTTGGAGACATAAAATTCTGTTTATGGTGCAAATTGTCACATGGATTTATTGCCGTCTAATGAACCCCAAGATCTGTGG